CATTCCTGCCCTACTACATTTTTAAACTCTCCGTAGCCACCATGAAAAGCGCTTATTAAAGCTAGAAAGAGGAAGAGACAAGATTATGATTATCCGGCAAAAAAGCTCTGAATTCCAAAATAAAATATCGAATGTATGGGGGGGTTCCATCACTTTAGGACGGGCGGGGGGTAGAATAAATTGAAGTCGTCTAGGCTGGTTGGCGGCTTACGCCATAATGTCAATGTGGTAACTCAGTAGAGGAAAGACAGTCTTTCCCAAACACAGTGCCGCATCCACCACGGGGTAAGACAACACTGGCCTAAAACTTACTCCGCATCCTCCATTAGTTCAAAATAGAACATGAATTTAATCTAAAACACAAAACTATAAACTTAGGGGAGAGACGGGAGAAAAAAATTCAAGACCTAAACTTGACCTAAAGTGCACAATCTGAAAAAGACATCCAACTGACAAATTGGACCTTTCCAAAATTAAAAATGTCTACTCTGAGAACAGCCATTTTAAGAGGATGAAAAGACAAACTCTAGGCTGGGGAAAATATTTGAAAATCACAGATCTGAAAAAATATGCATGTAGAGAGTATGTCTTTTAAAACTCTCAAAACTGCCGGTAAGAAAACAATTCAATTAGAAAAGGGTAAGAATAGACGTCTCACCCAACATATTATTCATACAACAAATAAGTATGAAAAGGTATCAACTATCTCTAGACACTGGAGAAATGCACATTAAAACCACAGTGACAACCTACACGCCCAGCACAACTGTCAATTGTGACAACATGAAATGCTGGTTCAAATGTGAGTGAAACCAGGTCACTCCCATGTCACTAGTGGGAATATAAAATGGTTCAGCTGTTCTGGAAAACAATTTGGCAGTGTCTTATAAAACTAACCACACAAATGCCATAAGACTCAGCCATTGTATTTGTGGACATTTATCATAGAGAAATGGAAATTTATGTTCACACAAAAATCTATACTCAAAATATTATAGCAGCTTTATTTTGTCATACTGGAGACAACCTCGATGTCCTTCCACAGATGAATGATTAAGCAAGCTGTGATGTTTGCAAGCCATGGAATATTACTCAGCAATCAAAAAGAATAAACTATTGATAGTTACAACCTGAATGGACCTTCAGAGAATTATGCAGGGTGGAAAAAGGCAATGCCATTTATATAATATCCACAAAATAAAAATTTAAAGAAATGGAGACCAGATTAGTGGTTGCCAAGGCTTAATGATGAGAGGAAGAAAGTAGGTGTGGCTATAAGCGGGCAATCGGGGAGCCTTCTGGTGCTGGGTCTGGTTTGCACGTTGGCTATGATAGTGTAAACATGAACCTACGCGTGTGATAAAATCACACGAAACTAAACACACGAACATACTCACACATTCCCGTGAACAGGAAGGCAATGGGAACCCTGACCTGTATGTGGCAGGGCATCCGTGCTCTGATCCTGATGGTTCTATAGTTGTGTAAGACGCTGTCACTGACAGGAACTAGGTAACAGGGCATGGGAGCTCTCTGTAAGGCTTGCTGACAGCTACATACGAATCTACGATTCTCAGGATAAAAAGTTTAACTTACACACACACACGCAGAGAGTGAGACCCAGCAATGCCATGCCTGGCATACATATTTGAGAACTGCTATTGCATGCCACATAGAGCTCTGCACTCCTATGTTTGTTTCAGCATTACCCACAACAGCCAAGATCTGAAAACACCTGAAGTGTCCACCAACAGACGAATGAAGAAAGACTACGTAGGATGTATATGCAGTGGAATCTATACAGCCTTGAAAAATGAGAAATCCTGTCATAGAAATGGAGCTCGACGATATTAAGCTAAATCATGTAAGGACAGGAAGACACATATTGTATACTCTTACTTATATGTGGAATTTTAAACAGTTAACCTCATAAAAACAGAACGTAGTTACCAGAGGACGGAGGTGGAGAGGGGGAAGGATGGGGAAGAGAGACATTGGCCGCAGGGCAGGCCGTTCCAAGGCCAAGTCTCAGTGTTGGTGGCACTCACGACCACAGTTCACAGTACTGCACTGTGAATTCCAGAATTGCGAGGGATAGATTTTCAACATGCTCACCCCTGAAAGTATGGTGTGTTGGTGAGGTGGTGGGTATGGTGAGTGGCTTGACTTTCTACAATGTAGCCAGAGATCTAACATCGCAGTGTACATCATTAATATAGACAGCTATTATTTATAAAGTTCTCAGGTGTTTGCCACAGGGCACAAGCACTTCCTGGAGTGAGGCAGAGAGAGATAGTAAGAGGGAAAGTGAGAAGTCACCCCTCGGGGGGATGGCCACACTGCAATCTCTTGTCCTCCACTCTCCTCTTGGGATCATGGGCACGCACACACACACACATGCCCCTGGCATGACTTTCAAGCCTCTGGTATGGGACTGAACCTCGGTCAGCCATGGTTAAGCCAGTGCCTTAACCACCACACCACCTGCTGGCTCATAAATAAATATTTTTAAACACAAAGGGATATAATCTCACATCAACTAAATGGAAAGAAACAGTTGTTGATGTACATGTGGAATGAAGGGAGATGCTCTTGCCCTCCAGGTAGGAACCACCTTGGAAAACAAGTTAGCATCGCCATCACACCAGGGGAGGGGCACAGCGTGGGCTCCTGTGGGACGATGCGGCCTTACACGTGCCATGACGCCTCCTGGCTCCTCTCCGATTTCTTCTGAACAGTCTGAGGGTGAAGAACTGCCATACCATGGGCTAAAAAGAGCATCGTTAATCTTTGAAAGATGCAGGGAGCCTGCTCACAGGTAAACTCGGCTCACGGACAGTCAGGATGCCTGGGAGGGCGTCCAGTCAAAGGGCTCTCCCTGGGGGACCCTCCACTCCCCAACCTCATCTCATGCACCTGCCTGGATCTCACCCCTGTGGACTGATCCCCTGTCGTGAGTCCTTATCAGAAAGCCTCCATGCGCATGTAATAGCCTGAAAGTCTCCATTTCCATCCAAGCCCACGCCTACCGCTCCAGGAGCTTGCTCGGGCTCCCTCTAACGAGCCACGCTTCCATGCATCCTGTCGGCCAGGACTCACTTTGACTGGCCTCCCTCCTCCAGGAGCTCCTCCACCTGGTCTGGCTCAGACTGTCTCGAATCCTGCCCCTGATCTTTGGTGTTTCTGTCTGGGCCTCTCTCACCCAGCCTTGACAACAACAGCCCAGAGCCCCATCTGTGGGGCTGACCCGATGCCCCGGTGAGAGAGGCCACTCCTTTGTTTAACAAATGCTTATCAAAAACCCAG